AAGACTCAAATATTGTCTTTTCTTATTGGCTCATTCTGTGCCCCCGTATTCGCAATAGTTATACTTTTAACACCTTCTTTACTCACGCTCTCCCAGAGCGCGTTTCAGACATTGGACTCGATCAACACTCGCCGTTTCTTACACATTTTCTTTTCTACTTGCCATTTAAATGTATTTTCTTTATTCGGAAAAACTTAACAACTAAACACATACTTATTGAGAAATGTTAAAAAATGAAAAATTACTAGTTAAAACTCATATTAGATATTACTCCAACTAAGTTGTTTGCGATTTATATTCACTTTCAGATAAAAATTTATTTGATTTAAGAATAAAATTATATATGATTTTATTCAATTTTAAATAATAAATTAGTTTAAATATACTTTTAATTCTCTATTTTAATATTTTTAATTTTTAATCCTTATTTACAAAAATCAGTTTTGTGATCCTTACTTTAATATTTCATGATTTTTTGATACGTTATTTAAATTTAATATGTCACATATTTAAAATTAATATTTAATTTTTTAATATTATAATATAATAATATATATTGTTATATTTAAAAATTAAAAAAAAAAATCAAAGATTAAATTATTAATTGTTTTATATAGAATATATATATTTTTTAAATAATTACATTTATTCAATTAGTTATTTAGAAGTTTTAGAAATAATTTGTAAAATTGAATACAAGTTATAAGATACAATGTGTTTAAGTGGTAGTTGCTAAACACATTCGAATTCTTATGATTACAATATTTAATTTTGCAAAATATTTCCAAAACTTTTAAATAGTTAATTGAATAAAATATAATTATTTTAAAAAATAGGAAAAAAATAAGTTTATTCTATATAAAACAATAAATATTTAATTTTTGAATTTTTAAAAATAATATTTTTTAATTTTTTAATATAATAATTTATATTATTATAGTATATAATATTAAAAAATTAAATAATAATTTTAAATATGGGACAAGACAAATTTAAGTGATGTGACTTTATAGTAATATTGACATGTCATTGTCAACTAATTTGAAAGGAATAAAAAAAACCAAAAAATATTAAAGTGAGAGTCAAAGAGCTAGTTTTTTTAAATAGAATTAAAATGTTAAAAAATTAAAATAAAAGGATCAAAAATATATTTAAATTTAATAAATTTTATAATTTTAGTCTGATCCAATTTATATAATACAGTTTACTGCAAATTGAATTTTTCGATATTCAGCTTACAAATAATATATTTAACATATTTATATAAATGTATGATAAAATAATATAATTGATGAAAAATATAATATACTAAAGATTAATGTTGTATAGTTGACCGATACAAGGAGTGACATCTGCATTAATAAATAGAATTTCATCAATAACTAGCAAAATACCACATAGATTTTATTTAATAGATATATATTAATTTGAAACAAATTATTTATTTATAAAATAAATAATAATAATATAAACTCAGTTGTATTAAATAATTATAAAAAAAGAAAAAAAGAGTTTGAGAAATAGAGAAAAGAAAAAAATAAAAATTTTAGCATTTAAAAATAAAATTTTTGTATCTTAAATAAAGATAATTGTTAATTAAAATAAAATAAGTATTTTGTCTACAGTGATGTGTGAAAAAAAGAGAAATTATGACAAATTAAAATAAGAATTTTATGTTTCAAATAAAGACAATTATTAATTAAAATAAAATACATATTTTTTTGATAATGACCCGTGAAAAAACCGAAATTTTAACATTTAAAAATAAGAAGTTTTTGTCTAAAATAAAAATAATTGTTAATTAACATAAAATAGGTATTTTGCTGGTAGTGACACGTGAGAAAAAGAGAAATTTTGACATTCAAAAATAAAAAATTTGTATTTCAAATAAAAATAATTGTTAATTAAAATTAAATAGGTATTTTGTTGATTGTGACCTGTGAAAAAAAGAGAAATTTTGATATTTAAAAATAAGAATTTTGTATGTCAAATAATAAAAACTAGTATTCATTAAAATAAAATAGATATTTTTTAAAAAATGATCTGTGTGATAGAAAATTAGTTGAATATATGGCTATTGAATATTATCCAATTAAAAACAATAAACTCTTAAATAACAATAAAAAAATAAAATTGATTAAATTTATCATAAAAACAAAAATTAAATAACTATATTGTATATATTTATACACCAATAAATATTTAATAAGATAAATTGTTTATTTAAATAAAAGTGGATTCTAAGAATTGGTGAAAAGGAAAGAAACAAAAATGAATTTGAATTTATTATGCCATATCTCAAACTGAGATTGAATTAAACGTTATAATATTCTGAACATTTGGGATTTACTTGTTAGTTTTTTCATCTGTAATATTTGAAAAGGAAAAAATAATATTTTAGAGTATTTGATGATACCTTCTTTTAATGGATATATAGTTCATATCAGATAACACACAGACCACTATATAAGATAGAAGCAATTTTGAAAGAAAAAAAAAAGCAATTGAATAATTATTTATCATGTTTTAAAATACAAAATAGTATATATAAAAAAACTATACTAGATTTAACTAAAGTAGTCAATAATATTAAAATCTTTAAAATCAAACAATCATATTGTTCTAGTTTGGATTAAAGTCTAACACGCGGAGAAACAGGTCACCCAGACCCTAATACAATAATGAGTGGCCCAAAAGGTAGGCACAGTGGACCAATGTCTAATATGTGGTTCAACAAATAGGCACGAGTGAACCAATGCCCAATCTACTAAAAATGAGCCCCCTTTGGTCTAAATATGTAGGGTGGTCTAGAAGATTAACACACTATATAGACACACCTAACCCACACTATATAGACACACATAACCAAGACTGACCAATACCTTTATAGACGTCGCATGGCAATGATTTGCAAGATTTTTTCCATTTGTCCCTTAAGACAATTAAAGCAAACAAAAGGTTCTAGGTTCTTAAAAATCCTAGGAGCTCAATATAACAATGACCTCGAATTCATATACATATTATTCTAAATTAAAAATACTCACTTACAATCATCACTAACTTGATAATAAGATTTCTCAACAGTTGAAAAAGATTCTCCATGTCCTTGACACATGTGAGGGATTAAGGTTAATTTGATTGTCCGGGGCTAAATCATCATTGACCATATTTAGTGATGCACATGCATTCAACTCAACTAACGTTTAGGGATTTACCTCAACTAACATGTGAGAATTCACCTCATTGACACCTTGAAGTTTACCTCATGCTCTGCCTACGGGAGGCTTGCCTCAAGTATGCCTGAGGGACTCACCCCTATTATACATGAGGAACTAACCTCAAGTTTGCCTGAGGGACTCACCCCAAGTATGCCTAAGGGACTCGCCCCTATATATATACGTTACCCCTGCCATTAGGGCGAGTTTTGTTTCCCCCCTATTAAAAAAAAATAGATTTCCCCCTTATAAAACACAGATTCCATTTCCACACACCCTTATTCTCATATTTTGTTGACTGGGCATGGAATCATCCTTGTTGGCATTTGTTGACTTGATGACATGTATTAATTAAATTTATGTTAATGTTATATTAGGGCTCATGTTCACCTAGACATTCTACAACAATTCCTTTTAGTTTTTCCTCATCTTCCCACCATCCCCGATTTTCTTCATCTTCTCACCCAAATTCTATTATTGCATACAAACGGTAGCATGGTTGGAAGCAAATGGGTTGGAAGAAGCAGTACAAGAAACAATACTTATCCATGTATACCCAGATGCGACTGTGACCGTGCTATGAAGATGTCGGTATCGAACACAACTCAAAATTGTAATCGGAAGTTCTAGAAATGTCACAATGCTTGGGTAAGTTTTGTTGTTGAATTTCCAGATGATGTTTACCCAGATGTTGCTAACATCCGTGTAATTTGTTTACCCATATCGTGTAATTTGTTTATGCAGAATGGGAATAGTTGTGACTTGTTTCTATGGGATGATGAATTTGGTGATTCAATGAAATGGAATAGTAATATTCCTGCGTTTTGCCAAATGTGTGCCAAGGCAGAAGTGCAATTAGAAACTGCTTTGAAGAAGTTAGAAAAAGCAAAGGTGAAGGTTGAAGTTCAGAGGAAGATAAATGTTAAGCTGAAGATGGCAATTGTTATGTCTTGGTTGATTTTTGCATTGTTTTACAACTTAATATAATATTATGTGATTTTTATGTAGGTTCAACTTAATGTAATTTTTCTGTCAAACAATTGCTTTGTTGTATTTTTTTTGTATTGCAAGTTTGCTGAATTAATGAAAATCTTAAAGTTATTGTCTTTATCAAATAGTCATTACCAAATAGTCATTACTAAATAGCACCAAAAGTGTGCAACTGTCATTACATCATAGCACCAAAAGTGTGTATTACATTACATCATAGCAACATAAGTGTGCAATTGTCATCACTAAATAATGCACCAAAAACGTGCAATTGTCATTACAAAATAATGCACCAAAAGTGTGCATTACAAAATACCAATAACAGTCAAGTCATTACTAAAGTTTATTAACTGGTTTCTTCTTAGCCTTCTTTGGAGCCTTCCTTGCACTCTTGAGAACCATTGCAATCTTGAGTCAAAATTCCTTCTTCTTCTTCTTCTTCTTCACTCAAACACATTGGCGGGTCTTTGGAACCTAGCCCAATGATTGGATTTTGAAACCATCTAAGTTTTATTCTCTCACTTTTCCTCTTTCTAATTGGTTTGGTATCTTGTTTAACCTTAGCCTTGCCTTTCTTGGTCATACTTGGCACACTGTTGGCAGATGTTCTTTGCATAGTTGTATTAATATCAGGTATAGTCAACATCATTTCATCAGTAATGTCTCCAAACAATTATGATGCAGAAGTTGTATGAGTTGCAGGTTCCACACCAGCATTTGCACTTGTGCCTGCTGCATTTGCACTTGTGCCTACTGCATTCACACTTGTGCCTACTGCATTTGTAGTTGTGCCTGCTACATTTGTAGTTGTATCTTATGCATTTGCACAAGACTTCGCCTTCTTCTGAAATAAAGAATGAAGCTAACATACATTAGAACCAACAAAAAAATTTCAGAACACAGACTATGAACAGATCAATAACAATATCTTTCTCTTCAAGGCATTTGGATCTTATTTCTTGATCTTGCATGACTTCACATTGTGTCCAATCTTATAACACTTAGTGCACCTATAAGATACACGAGGTAGCCTTCTTCTAGCACCTTCCTCGCCAGGTTCTCTAATTCTTAACTTTCTGGGTCTTCCATGACCTTTTTTGTAGCTTGGAGGTAGAAGCTCTTCACTTTCAACCTCATGCCACATTTCATATCCATTAAAACAAAAATAAAAAGATCCAAAACCTTGGATGGATAGTTGGGATTAGTCTATCAATGTTCATCTTTATAATATTCCCTGCATTTACTCTTTGTAGTTAAGCAGCATACCTCCACAAGTTAGTATATTGCTTGTCTGCATCCCCCTCAATTATCTTCTGCTCAATCAACTTAGCTTTCCATTCCTGAGCCACAATTATACCCACTAAATAATTTTGTCTCATGTCTTGTATTTGTCATACCCCAAATTTTCCCTACCCTAATCTAGGGTTTTCTTCAAATAAATTTTATTATTTAGTTTTCACCTTTATAGGGGTATTTAAAGTCAAAGGGGTGTGTTGATGTAAAATAGACCATCAATATCTGATGGTCCATTAAGTCTTAAAATTTGTTTCAAGTTTAAGAGAGGGGTGTATTATAAGAAGAATGGGTGTGCGGGCTTTACAAAATCTGAATTAATTCTATGGCCCAATAAGAGGGTTTGAAGCCCATTTTTTTAAAAATATTTGTTGCTATTATCATTATTTGTTGTACAATAAATGAGTATTATAGTTCATATTAATATTTTTGTAGCTATATAATTAAATTATGTTGTTAAAATTATTTTTATTGTATTAATTAAACTAAAGTCAATATCTGACTTTAAGTCTATAATTATTATTAATACTATTGATGTTATTATCATTAGTAATTATTATTATTATTATTGTAATCAATTATTATTATTATTATTATTTGAAGTTGTATTCATGATTTTTTTTAAAACGATGGATTAATCGTATGGCCCAATTCAATAAGGAACACATGTTGTTTATTTTTATAATAGGTTCTGTATGAATAAAAAAAAGCAAGCAACGCAGGTTTTTTTTTGCTGTACGAATCGTAAGTAATAAACTTATGTTTCTACCTGCGGAAAAAAAATCAATTAGAGAAACAAAAACATTTTTGCAAAGCTCTTAAATTACAGACAAAAGGTTCAAAATATTTCCTAAGGCATAAAACTCAATCAATTCTAAGAATTAATTTGCAGACACATTTCATTGTTTCCAAAACTAATTTACAGACAAATTTATCTACTTCCTAATCTACAACACCTAAGAGCTATAAAATCAAAACAAAATGGGAGGAAAGAGGACGAACAAAAAATATCACAATAAGAAAAGAAAAAAAAAATTACAGTGGGGAGGGGAAGCCTTACAGTGCAGAGCAAAATAAAGAGAGGAGAGAGGTGATATTACAGTAAGGAAAGAGAGGAAACAAATCTCCAGCTACCGTCCGCTCCACCATGAATCAACATTACCGTCGATTCAAGGCCCCGCAGCCGTACTCCATCTCCGAAGAACACCGCACCAGCCTGCAACTTCAAACCGCCGGATGAAGCCTCCGTGTCGACGCCTTGGTCCACCCTCTGCCGCTCTGACGAACAGCTCCACTCAGCCAAGGATCCACCAACGCCAGAACCACGTCACTGGCCGTCAATAAAGGCCCGATCAGTAACCTTTTCTCTGCTTAATGATTAACATCATAATTTGTTTGCATTATTTTCTCATATCTGAATGAAAGAGTGAGCAGTAGAAGAGAGTTTTTCTTGAAGGAAGATTTTTAAGTAGAAGGGAGTATATTTTTTGTCGTTAAGGAGAGAGATCCAAAAGGTTATTGTGAGAAGGATAAGTTGGAGTTTTTGTTTCTTTTGCTAATGCAGTCCCGTGAATACTTAGTTATTAACTTCTTTTTTTTTTATTCAGTACACCACGTGTCGATGTGTTGTTGGTCGTTGGACCAGGTCCAATAGAGAATACGGTTTTTCCCTTCCTAGTTATTTCCATTATTTATTTCCTTTTGTGTAACTTACTGCACTTAATTTCTTGTTTTGAATATTTTTATTTTAAGAATTTAAAATGTTAAATTTATATCCATGCTATATATAATATTTGTTGTTTACTATGCATAACCATAATGTAACGTACTGCTATAATACTATAACCTTTAGGAACTTTAGTTTTGTTTTCATTATTTTATGATTTAATTTAGCATTTATTATTAATTAGGTCTATTATGATGATTATATTAGCTTTTAATTATTAAAAATATAATAATAATATAAAAAAAACATTAAAAATACAAAACATCAAAAAAAAAAAATACTCTTTTAGTTTTTGCATATTTTTAAATCATTTGCAAATTTTTAAATCATTGGCTAATAAGTTTTTGCAAATTTTTACAAAAAAAATATGTACTCTCTTAGTTTTTTTTGGTTTTAGTTAATAATTTGGTAATTATATTTCTAGATGAATTTGTGTTATTATAAATAAAAAATCATAAATATGTACTTAATTAAATTTTATACAATTGAATTAATTCAAACATTCTATAAATAATAGAATGTCCGTCTTTGAGTAATTAAATTGGTCAACACATCGTCTACCGGTTTACTATTCAAAATCAAACAATTAAAATTCTCACCACTCATTAAATTCACCATCCGCGAGCGACACGTGGCCAATATCTGGCAGCATGATGAGGAGATTACATCAGACTCTCTCGCTCAACGTATAAAAAATATTCAATCAAACACCAAATATTTTTTCGCAAATTAAATTAATTCGAACGATTATTTTTTCGAAAAGTAATACGAACATATTTAAATCAACTGCGTACTTGGTCTAACAAACTCTGCTATTCACACTTTTAGACTACGTAAGCGAGAGATTCAAATATATTTCGCATTCCATAAAAAACACAAACCAACTGCGAACTACGAAATAGGACTCTGATTCCTCCTAGGAGGATATGTAGGCATACGATCAAAATCGTGGCGAGTCCCCCTAACTAAAATTTAAACCCTTTTCCTTAATTAATAATTAAAACCCTATTTCCTAAACATCGCACTTCTAAACCTAGTATCCTTGCGAACAAGGTAGATAAGGGGTGCCTAACACCTTCCCCTCGTCTAGAACCGAGTCCAAATCTAGAATCTCTGAACTTTAGGATTATTCCTTTATACTCCCTTCCTTTAGGATAAAAATTAAGGGTGACGACTCTGATTTAAAAACCAGTTGCAACAGTATTATATCAGAGATCCTCACTGTATCAGTTGTTTTCATTTTCTTCACAACATACTTGGCCACCCACCTTGAATTTGTATATCTATTATCTAAAACCCTAGCACATGTGTGGGTATCATTTATAGTCTTAATGGCAAAAGTTTGTTTATGGCCCACCTAGAGCAAAGCATTAAAAAACCACAATTAGCCTTGCACACTACCCTTACCTTGTACCCCTCATTTTTCATAAAAGCTATTTCCCTTCCATTTAAAATTGTCCACTCACGAATGGTCTCCCTAAAGTCATCTAGGAAATTGAACTGCATACCCCACTTAAACTTAAAATTCTTATTAAATCGTTCTTTCCTAAACTTCTCAAACTTAGACCTTTTTTCATCTTCAGAGTTATCTGAATCTGAGTTGTCTAGCTCTTCACTAACATAATCTTCATCTTCCAATTTCCTCTTATTGGGACAAGGTAACAAACCAACTATTATTGGACCCTCCCTAATTGTATAGTGACATCAATTCCTTTGAATCCATCTGCAATATCGGTAGTCCTTTCAGCCTCACTGTCATTCAACCCTTCAACTCCATCTTTATCCCTTACATCTAACCCAGGAAAATCATTCACACACCTAGGCCTACTACCAATTACTTCTATACCATGTACGTCATGTTCCACAAACATGTCCCCGTCCACTTACATAGCGCAAGCATAAGCAGAGAAATCATAAGCATCACCATCATTCTTAATTTGAAAAAAATCTTCATCTATGTCAGTGAATTTCCGTCCATATTCTGTACGACCCATCTAAGTAACCCCACCCATTAACCAGACTACAAATGTGACTCATATTCAAGTTTTTAATGTCTTGCCTATAAACTATTGTTGAAAGACCACCCATGTATATGATTCCACCATCAACCAACCTTACAAACTCACTCCATGGTGGAAGACAACATTAAAGGATTGAAGTTTTTGAAATCAAAGATGAAACTAATAAATATTTTTCACATGCATGTTCGACTCAAGCAGCATAAACGGATATTCAAACTAACCTGAGTCAAATTGCCAATGTCTCTACCGTTGCCATCCATGTCTTTGTCTTCTTTGACAAAGTTCTTCTTCTTCGCTTCGCTTGTGGTCCCAAATGTGAACCCTAACATTCACGGAGGGTAAATAGGAAAGGACAACACAATTGTATGATTTCAGTTTTAATTTTTATTTAAATATGACTTGGAAACTCATTTAAATCCAATGATCAAGTCAACAAATACCAACAAGGATGGTTCCATGCCCAGTCAACAAAACATGAGAGTATGGGTGTGTGGAAATGGAATCTGTGTTTTATAAGGGGAGAATCTTAAAAAACATTAATATGGGGAACAACGTACGACTATGTCTCGTCATCTCGTCACATGTCTATCAATATAAGACTTATCGCCCTGATCATCATTCACCAAGGGCTCTAGAAGTTAATGACATCCAAGCCGTCCACAAATCCCCACAGAGCCGCTTCAAGAGATTATCCCTACAAAGTAATCTTCACAAAGTCATACATTCCCCATAATTTTCCCAGCAGATTGCTCCAGAAGACAAAGGAGTTTAGTCTTGTTCCCAGTAATATTGCTCATCTACGGGATCCCAATCATTATAGTTTATGGGAATTCTTCTCCCCAGCTAAGTTTTCAAAATTGTAAAACCCTCTGTAGAATACTTCTCTCCAGCAGAGCTCATTCTCCTCAGCAAAGAGTTCCCCCTCAGCATGATATTCCTCCATCAATAGGGTTTAATTCCCAACAGAGTCCAAACTTCCTCCAACATGGTTTATTTCCCCAACAAGGTTTGTTTCCCCAATGAGGTCCAATCTCCTTAGTTTGAGTCTTTTCCTTAAATGGCCACGAGTCACCGACAAATCTCCCTTCCCCAGTGAAGTTATTACTATCCCAGAAGGTTGCTACTGAATCTAAAATCAAACTAGATGTCAGTCAACCTTATCCTTCTCAAACGAGCCAGAAAGTTATCCATTGATGTTATTCCTAATCAGGGTATACAAGTAATCATAACTTCCAAATAGAGAAAAAAACAACCAAAGTTTTAACCTCTTCTTCCCCAAGCAGGAGTAAACACTCTTCAATAAAGTTCCCTCAGAGAGCAGAAATCAATGTTCCCCAATGGAGTTTCCTCAAACAGCAAGTAGGAATCCCCAACGGAAACAATTCCTAGAAGATTACGCATACTCTTCATCCCTAGCGACATTCAGGGATTTATTTTCCCCAGACAAAGATGCCATTGAAGTTTACAAATGCACTACATTAACATTACATATTCATACATTAGTTACCAAATGTCATAGCATATGCATACGAAACGCATATGGCGCAATCTCATTTATTTTTAAAATATTATTACGCAATGCATTTCATACATCATGACATTGCATACGGCTAACTCTTTACCTTTTCAGGAAAAGGTCAATCAACAAGACCAACATCATCAATTACTGGTAGGACCAGATAGTATTATTAAAGAAAACGTCTTCTGGCTTAGAATAAATCAACCAAAGGTTTTATTCTGATACTTCTTCTAGTGGACATTCTTCTGGCTCAGCTTAGATCAGGTGTAGATCCATTTTGACACTTCTTCCAATTGAAGGCATTTTCTGGCTCAGATTAAATCAACCAAAGATTTATTCTGATACTTCTTCCATATAAAAAACAAGCATAAATATCTACTGGCTCAGATTAAATTGACCAATGATTTATTATGATACATCTTCCAGTAGACCTTTTTCTGGCTCAGATTAAATCGACCAATAATTTATTCAGATACTTCTTCCAGTTAAAGACAATAGAGACCTCTTCTGGCTCAGATTAAATCAACTAAATATTTATTCTGATACTTCTTCTAGTTAAAGGCGGTCGTAGATAGTCGTTGGCTCAGATTAAATCAACCAATAATTTATTCTGATACTTCTTCCAGTAGACCTTTTTTCCGGCTCAGATTAAATCGACCAATGATTTATTCTGATACTTCTTCCAGTTAAAATACAACAGAGACCTCTTCTGGCTCAGATTAAATCGACCAATGATTTATTCTGATACTTCTTCCAGTTGAAGACGATCGTACATAGTATCTGGCTTAGATTAAATCGACCATTGATTTATTTTGATACTTCTTCCAGTAGGCCTTTTTCTGGCTTAGATTAAATCGACCAATGATTTATTCTGATACTTCCTCCAGTTAAAAGACAACAAAGACCTCTTCTAGCTCAGATTAAATCGACCAATGATTTATTCTAATACTTCTTCCAGTTGAAGACGGTCATACATAATCGCTGGCTCAGATTAAATCGACCAACGATTTATTCTGATACTTCTTCCAATTGAAGATGATCGTATATAGTCGCTGGCTCAGATTAAATCGACCATTGATTTATTCTGATACTTCTTCCAGTAGACCTTTTTTCTGGCTCAGATTAAGTTGACCAATGATTTATTCTTATACTTCCTCCAGTTAAAAGACAACAGAGACCTCTTCTGGCTCAGATTAAATCGACCAATGATTTATTCTAATACTTCTTCCAGTTGAAGTCAGATATAAATATCTTCTGACTCAGGGTAAATTGACCAATGATTTATTCTGATACTTCTTCCAGTAGATCATTTTCTGGCTCAGGGTAAATCGACCAATGATTTATTCTGATACTTCTTCCAGTCATATACATTTTCTGGCTCAGATTAATCAACCAAAGATTTATTCTGATACTCCTTCTAGATAAAAACAAGCATAAATATCTGTTGGCTCAGATAAAATCGACCAATGATTTATTCTGATACTTCTTCCAGTTTGAAGTCAATATTTACTTTAGATGGCATCTATAATCCCATCTTCGATGACTCTCAGTCATCTCTCCGAATGACACCTTCTAAGCCCATTCAAGCATACTATCAGCTAACAATGTTACTCTGTGCACTAGTGAGCGCAAATTTATGGGCACTTTAATGTTCAATCATCTTCCACCTTCAGATCACGAAAGGAAAACAAGCCAATCTAAAATCCTTAGGTGTAAGACGATTGAATAGGGGTATCTGTTGTACCCCAAAATTTTACCTCTCATTCTTATTCAAAATATACTCTTAGAGGTCCCCAGGTGATCAAGGTTGACCAAGAATTTACTAGACAAATTCTCATCATAAGCAATAGACTTCCAACTAGGGTTTCACTTTTCATAAAGAAGTTCGGGTTTCAAAGGCCTCAAGTGATTTCTATGGTTCCTAATATGTCATCAAGAATGCTCATGCCAAGTTTCATGCCTTGCATCACAAGTTTGCTCAGTCAATGGCTCGAATGTTTGAAAATCAACTATATTGGTAAAAAAGTCAACTATAGTCAACATACAATCAAACTTCAAGATTTCTGGTCAACAACAACATTTTTAAGTAATATTCATAATTTTATCAAGGGTTTATCATGATTACCCAAGGAAAGCCCTCAGATCATCAAAAGTCAAGAATTGCCAAATTAGGGTTTCCTTAGGAGAAGTTAACTGAACTTTGACCAGGCATAACTTTCACATGCTTCATCAACTTTTCCCCAACCAAATCACATTTTGAATAAAATTCAATTCTCTACAACTTTTCTTTCATTCTCAAGTCCCAAAAATGCTTCATTTGGAAGATATGATCTCATACATTATAGGTCATTTTCAAAAAGTCAACAAAGTACACTTTTTGTCAAGGCAACTTACATTAAGTTAATATCTCCAAATGCAAAAATGATTAAAAGATAAAGTATAGAGTACATCTTGGGATTTCCAAAAAGTCAAAGATAATCTCCAAAAGGTGAAAATTGAGCATGTTATGGTTTTCACAAGTTAGGCAAATTTGTGAAAAATGGATGAAGTCAACTTTGAGCAAAATTGTATTTTTAGGTTAATGGACCTAACTATTAGGGTTCAAACATGTTTATGACATACCCAAGGACATCTAAACCTAACCATTCACTATTTTGATTTTTATTTCTATTTATTTGATTTTTTATTCATTTAAATATGAATTAAATCAAATAAATTAAATAAAAACACAAGGAAATCATGGGCTATGCATATGGGATGGATTTGATCCACTTAGGAGCGCATTTATTCGTGAAAAACACATGAAATATGTCCAGGTTCATGCTCCAAACAAAAGTGACAAGAATCACACCATTTAGGCAATTTTTCAAATTTTTATTTTGTCATCAAACCATGTTTTAATGCCTAGATATCTTGCCTTATTTCCACCCTCACTCACTCTTCTATAAATATAATGCATTGCAATCCCAAAGAGGGCACGGAATTCTACATGTAAAAGCTCTCCAAAATCTCTCCAAAAAATCTCTCCAAAAACTCTCCAAAAAAAATCAAAGAATCGGTGCAAGTCATATCTCAAAGTTCCAGCCTCTCTCGATTGAAACCAAGCCTCAAACCATCATCTTGAAGTCCCGAGGAGTTTTTTGCAAGGCCCAAGATCAGTCCATCACAAGCTTAGAACGCCCCCATTTGATAACACCGGTTTTGTAAAGTTTAAAATTTCGAATCTCTGATTTTAATCATATTTCATGGCATGCTAATATTTGTTTGAGTTTATATGAATCTATAGATCAGGTATGAGTGGGACCAGATATGCGCATCATGCACCTCCAGTTCCTGACCACCATATTTCTTCATTCTAGATCCAAAGCCTAAAAGGCGCGTCCCTATGATGAACCCTAAGAAGCGTCCCTCACTAGATATCCAGGCGCCTGGGCCCTATTGCTAATGGGCCTGGAAAGTTTTTGCTATTTCACACCCTCTAACTACTTTTTGCAGTGCCTGGCCATTTCTTTTTTTTTCTTCTTTTTTTTATTGTTTATTTATTTAATTTTCTTTAAACCTTTTTTTCTTTTTACGAACATAAAAAATCACAAAATCACAAAAAATAGTAGATTTAAGTTTTTATTAATTAAATTAGTTTTGATCAATCATTTAATCACCTTTTTTAATTAATTAACTAATTAGAATTAGGTTCTCACAATTTATTTATTTTTTTAAACAAAAATTAAAAACAAAAACAAATATTTCTTTTATCACTTAGAAATTTTTCTTAGGGTTTTTCTTCATCCTTTCATTTTTATTTCTTTCTCC